ATCAGTCTTAGCTGAAGCAGGAAGTCCAGTAGGTACCCAGGTACCAAGCTGTTAAGGGCTTCACCAGTAATGGTCAGCATTTTGAATTGTAATTACAAGCCTACTGGCAACCAGTGCAGAGCCTACAACACCAGGGTTATAAGATTATGGCAGGTTTCACTTGCCAATAAATGGGCTGCTATATTTTGTACTAATGGTAGCTTCTGAGCAATCTTCAAAAGCAGCCTCATGTAAAGTGCATTTCAACAATATATCCTAAAGTGATAAGGACATAGGTAACTGTTGCCATTGGTGCACCAGCCACTGGACATTCCCTCCCCTGCCAAGCCCAGTGTCTACCTGCCTATCTAGCAATAATTGTGAGTCTAGGAAAACCTAGTCCTCCAAGGGGGAATGCTAACCTGTTCAAAGTTGCCCACAAAGCCAATACAGAGCCAAATGAGTTTCTGCACAAACAGCACCTCTACATCTTGCAAGTATTCTACTTCAGCTTGTTCCTTTCCATCTAAACCCCCAAGTCTCCAGACACTGAGAAAAAGACTATAGTACCACAATATCTCCAGCAAAGACCAGGTGGAGATGAGCATATTGATGACACCACACCCTGAACTGAATGACTTCCTCCAATCACTTAATGTAAATATTAAAGTTCAGGAGTGACAGGGACTAAACTCTGTGATATTCTATATGGTGCAATCACTAGGTTGACCTCTCAGCCTCCACTGCCTGGCACTGCCCACTTAGGAAGGAGCGGAACCATTATATAATTATGCCTCCCTACTCCCTATCTGCAGCCAGTTCAGGATACCATGGTTGATGTTGCTGAAGGCCACCAAGAGATCTAAAAAGACCAGGAGGGGCACAATTCTCCCCCATCCAGATCTCACCAAAGATCATCAACCAGAGCGACCAATGCTGTTTTGGGTCCATACCGGTGTGAACCCAGATTGAAAGGGATCCAGATGAACTATTTCATCTAGGGTGATCTGCAATTACCACCCCCACCATTTTCTCAACAATCTTCCCTAAAAAAGTGAAGGTTGAAGACTGAATTATAGTTGCCTAAAATGACTGGAACCTTTTGTATATTTTGGCAATTTCAATACATAGATTTTTTTTTTAAAAGCTGTGATAATGTTTTTGGCTACATATATGAAAAATGCTATATTCTAATTGCAAGAATTATCTATTTAATAGGTGCCTGTGACAACGACGTAGCCTTGTTCTAGCACTCAAGCTGTAATGTTGTAACACTGGAAAAAACGGGCAAAAGGAAGAGGGAGAAAAAGAAAAAATGTCCCTGAAACTGAAGTGCTTCTCTGAAAGAAAATGTCTGGACTCTGTGCAACCCTCCCCCCAAAACTAACAGATCATTAACTGTACAGCTGTAGTGCAATTAGCTGACTGTCTAGAAAGGCTAATAAAAGCCTATTAAATAAGGCTACTGTCCAAAACTGAAATCAAATATTAGGCCAAACAATACCTTTTAGAAAAGCTTAAAAGCACACCAATTCCAAAGAGGAAGAAGTCTGTTGTTTTATCCTCATAAACAATAAGACCATCCACCCACACCCACACTATTTGAAAGCACTACTAGCTTCCATGTTGTCAGAGGCAATAAAGAGAAATGGGTCTCCATCTTGCACATAGCATCCCTTCCCACAGCCCTAAATAGGGCATCATGCACCAAGTGTTCCAAACCCCTGAACTCAAAATTAGTCTGACACAATGTAATACCATCATCCTATTATTTATGCATGCAAGTATTAGCTTGAAGTCATATTACTTACTTCCACCATTTCCTAAAAACAACCCTATCTTAATCTGATTTGCTTGTTCTTTTCCCTATTTCTAGTTTGTTTCTCATTCCCAGTCCCTGCAGTCCCTGAGTTGACAATTAAGCCACAGCTCCACCCAATCCTAGATTTGGAGCTACCATGAATATTGCAGTCAGCCTGATAGGATTGCTGTGTTTTATACTCCTGATTTCACAATGCCATTCTCTATTTCTAGTATCTTCCCAGAACTCATCAGAACATATTTGATTGCAAAGTATTTTGTTTTCCACAGGGGCTCTGGCCTTTCAAAGGAGGCCATTCCTAAACATTAGCTGGAAAAAATTAGTCAGACACTTCTAAAAGTTTTCTGAAATACTCAAGTATGCTATCTTTCTAGAGGAAGAACACTGCATAATCAAGATGGAAATGCTCATTCTGTTCTGCTGGATTTTAGGCATTAAGAGCTCTTTTTTTAAAAAAGGCCACTGTGACCACCTAAACATCTATGACATACCCATTTCTTATTTACTATAGTATTGTTTCTGTTACTTGGTTGTTATCCTTTTCTTCTGGATTACTGCTTTAATTTGTACTACTACAGATTCTAATGTTTTGTTATCCATCTTTAAGTCCTGTTAGACATGCAAGTGTAATAAAAACTTTTTAACAAATGAAATGCTGAGCAATGCCTAGATGGAAAGCCCTTGGGAGCAAGGAAGCCAATCTGAATAGTATTAGTAAATATTTGTACCAATTTATCAGGATAAATGTTCTGTCTAACTTCAGAAAACCCTTATGTGCAGAATGGCCTGCTGTGACTCAGCATGGATGCAACACACATAACAGACAAGGATGTCATTCTCCACATGAATGAGTACAATATTTTAAGCATCAATTTGACCCAAAATTTCATGGTGCAAATATGTGTTTGCACATTTAACCAGACCTTCCCCATTCTTAAAAGCAAACATTTTGCAACAAGCCATGACAACACTACTACTGAATTTAAAACATGTTGAAACTATGAAAAACTGTCAAATTACTGGAATCATGAAATAATTTGCTCATTTTTTAAATGTATTTTTATTGGAAAATAGTACTTACAGCTTTAAATGCTGCAAAACAAAAGAAAAACACGGACCAAAACTTTAAAAAAAAGGAAAAAAGAGCCATTTAAACTTAATAAACATTTTATCTCTATTATACACACACTCACATTTTTCTTTTGATTTTATCATCAGTTATACCGTTTTGTTTGCTATAAAATTATTTTCAAAAATATAAAAAATAGAAACATTAAGAATCCTAAAATTTATCTATAACTTAATGGTTAAGATGTAATTCCAATTCTAGATTAGTACGCCATTTTGTAAGAGAGATTTTTTTTAATAGGACAGATTTCCATTTTTTTTTTAATCTTAACATTCCAAATATTTTCCATCTAAGGGGATGGGAAATCTGTGTTACATAATTCAATGGGTACAGGTACTCATAATAAAATACGTTTTGGTTAAACTCCACAGATATAAGCCACCCCACACCTTAAGGCTGGCCACAAGCCTCAAAGAACTGCTTTGATTTTTCAGAACAGTAACAACAATTTCACACATACCACCACCATTGTTGTACTGCAGTACTTTCTACAAATGGGGTAAAGTCAGGAAATATACATTGCACATACAGTTGTTGATTTTAAGTGTGTGGCAACCCTCTAACATTTCAAAGCCAGTATTTCTATGGACAGGTGACTACTCTGCTTTTTTTGAAACTAGTCAACCTCTGCTCTAACAGAAATACATCATTGCGATCAAGCATTCACCTATGAAAGTCTCAAGACAGCACAGCATGCTGGATTGCTCATACCCAGCCATGTCAAGCTTATTCAATAGGTTCCAATACTCATTCAGCCACAATCCAAACAAGTACCGCAATCACATATTTTACAATTCTCACTTTAACTGTATACTTGATATAGACCACCCTATGTCTTCCTGGAGAAAGGATGAATAATGCTTTAATGACATCGGAAATGATGACAGAAAAAAGGAAGAAACCAATGCAAACATACAAGGGAACCAGTGTTACACTGATGGTTTAACTCCCAAGGCTTCTCTCCACAAGGGTGTCTCAGGACCTAAAGACACACAGCTCACAATGTCTCCACTAAGGCTTTTTACAAACCAGCACACCACAACCCCGCACCAGCCTCTTCTTGGGACCGACAGTCAACTACTGTGTGCTCTGCACAGGCGAGGCAGCCGTTTATTTCTAACCCCCCCAACCTTCCCACAGCAACGGGTCTGGCTGGCAGGGCCCTTGTCCTCCACCATTTCCCAGGCACACAACAACCCAAGAGGTAGGCCTGGGTGAGGAAAGGCTTCTCCCTGAACTTCAAGGCTTGCAGGGGGAGATCTCCATCCGGATCCTGGGATAGCTCAACGTCGGTCTGTGAGCCAGGGCTGATCCGCATTGGGGTAGGTCCTCATTCTCACGTGCACCCCTCTCCCGTCTCTTCCCAGGACCTCTAAAGGTGGCTCTTCTCCCCTCACAATGCCGGCCTCTGCCCCCAGGCCTCTGAGAAACTAAAATCACCCATCATCCCCACCCAGCAGAGGGAGGGGTGTGCTGTGGCCGGGAAAGATGGGAGTTGTAGTCCAGCCCAAGAGCAAAGGGAGGCGGCTCCGGGAATCCCTTTCCACCCTCCACGCCCCACCTCTTCGCCCCCCTCAGCCCAGGGAAGGGGGGCGCCGCCGATCAGCCTTTCCAAGCCCCCCCGGCTGAAAAAGGGCGGGGAAGGGGG